ATTTTCAAATTAAAAAAGGCCTTATATGGATTAAAGCAGGCACCCAGAGCTTGGTATGAGAGGCTTAGCACATTACTAGAAAGGGAGTTTGTTAAAGGGAGTGTAGACACCACCTTTTCCTAAGGAAAGTAGGAGATGATTTACTCATTGTTCGGATCTATATCGATGATATAATTTTTAGATCTTCTGATAAAAGGCTATGTGATAAGATTTTTCTAAAATAATGATTAAGGAGTTTGAGATGAGTATGATGGGAGAATTGTCCTACTTTTTGGGGTTTAGCATTAGACAATTAGATGATGAAACTTTTTTTAGCCAAACAAAGTATATAAAGGACATCTTGAAGAAATATGAAATGGACAAAGCCAAGCCAATTAATACTCCCATGACCTCAGAAATTCAATTAGACAAGGACCCAAATGAAAAATCAGTTGATCAGAAGAAGTATAGAGGGATAATTGGATCTTTACTTTACCTGACTGCTAGCCGACCTGATATAATGTTTAGCGTTTGTCTTTGTGCTGGATTTCAAGCTGAACCTAAGGAATCCCACCTGACTGTAGTTAAGAGAATTCTTTGATACCTTTTAGGAACCCTAAACCTAGGAATATGGTACCTTAGGCACAGCACTTCTTTTGAGATTATTGAATTTTTTTATTCTGATTTTGCAGGATGTAAGGTGGATAGAAAAAGAACTTCTGGAACTTGCCAATTCATAGGTCAGTCTTTTAGTCTTCTAGTCTAGTAGAAAGCAAAACTCTGTTGCTCTTTCCACTACTGAAGCTGAGTACATTGCTTTAGGAAGTTGTGTGGCCTAAGTCTTTTGGCTAAAATAGCAAGTACTGGATTTAGGATTACTTGTAGGCACCATCTCAATTCTTTATGACAACACTAGTGTTATCTACATTTCTAAGAATCGTATCCAACATTCAAGGACTAAGCATATTGACATTAGGCATCACTTTATTAGAGACCATGTGACTAAGGGAGACATTGAGTTACATCATGTGGCGACTGAGAATCAACTGGCTGACATTTTTACTAAACCACTGGCCTTCGACACTTTCAACAATTTAAGGATGAAGTTGGGTGTGATTGACATTAATGCATGAACTTGATTTCTACTGATGTTTTATCTGCTAATTACTTTGTTGTATTTTTCTAGTTTTTTTTTTTTGTTTATTTATTTTTTGGTTAATTTTTTTGTTTTGTTTTTTGGTACTTTATTTTTCCATATTCCTTGCTTTGTTTTTCCTTTACAAATCATCGCTGAATTGATATCTTATGTCTTATTTTTTATTTAGAAAATTTGGGGTTAATGTTTTACATCTCTTAATCTACTAAAGGGTAAGAAGACCGTTGATTGTGTCTCTTTCTCTAACCTATTTTGGTGGTAAAAATTTCTTTTCTAACCAAAAGTCTATCTCAAATTAACAGATGGATTTTGCAATTGAGATATTTTTCTACCTTACTATAATAATCTGGCTTATACCATAATAGTCAAAGTTTTTATGTTACTTCAAGATTTCTCATTATTATGTCAATGCATCTCTCACATGATTTTTTATTCTATTTTGTGGATTGTTCTTCCCTATATTAGAGAGCGAGTTTTTCTGCTCTAATATCTGGAAGATATACTCACAACTAAGAATATTTAAGAGTTTTTGGAAAAGAATCTAGCTTACAAAAATAATGAAAAAAAAGTAGCCAATGATGCCAAAAATAAAAGATGCGCAATGACGCCAAATTAAATATATATATATATATATATATACACACACAAAGTGTATTAAAAATCAAAAGATGCGCAAAGTGCACCACTCAATGGACAAGAGGCATAAAATGAGCCCATCAAAAAGCAAGCTATGTTCCTTTCTTCCAACTCTTAAAACTTAGAAGATTTCATATATCACTTGAGATTTTCAAGGACTTGATTTTGAATTTTGCGATTTAACAAACTATTTTGATATATTAATTTATAAGATATTTTTCGGAAACCAAGTCTTGATCGGATCACTTTTTCTTATCCAAATGTTTTTTTTTTGTTTTTTTTTTGAGAAATGCAATTTGCAATTAAAGAAACAAAGCTAATTACAAACTAAAGAAAAGGCTCACATTCCTTCTTTAACAAAAAACAAAGAGGAGGAATGTTAGCAAAGGAAGAGCTATCAAAGTAAAAGTTTGTATCTAAAGCTAAAGTAGCACACAAATCAGCTACCTTATTATAATTTCTATGAACATGGTGAAGAATTACCTTATTGAAATCGGTCAAGAAAAGAAAGTCCTCCTCCATCCGATTATAACCTTGCCAATTGTTCCTGTTCAAAGAATTTTGAATGAATTTTATAACGTTGATGTTATCACCTTCAATTATTACCCCTTTATTTTCAAGCATCCATGGTTGAACGAGTCTTCTAAGAGTCATAATAGCATCCATCTCAAGCTGAGCAATATCCCAATGCGTTCTTTTTTCTCCAAAGGTAATCAACAATCTTCCTTTATAATCTTTAAAACAGCCCCCAATTCCAGCCGTATAAGAAGTCAAGAGAGAAGCATCCACATTAATCTTAATCCAGTCTTGCGGTGGATTGTGCCAAGAAGTTTGAAACTCCCAAGGGAGGTTAGCACCCCAGCTACCAATGACAGAATTAAAGATATTAACTACAGAATAAAGCACATTAGCCGCTAGAACAGGAATGGATATTGTAGTTTTCCATGTTTAACAGCATTTCTACTCTTCCAGTTATGGTACACTACATTGTAATAAAGTCCAACTGTGTTTGGTGTAAAAGTAGAGAGAAGTTTCAGCTCAGCTAAGCATTCATTCATGGATTCAAAAATTGAAATATAGTTTCCCCAATTCTGGATCTGTTTAATGATTTTCTGCATTTCTTTACACCTGACAGTGATATGCTCTAGATTTTCACACTCTAAACATCCTTTAGCACAAAGTTCTTCATTAGTAAGTTTTTTATGCTTCAAGAATTCATTGGTAGGAATTGCTTCTTTACTCACCCTCCACCAGAATAGCTCAACACGAACTGACAGCTTTAATTTCTTCAACCAAGTGTAAAACCCCATGTCTTCATCACCACTATTCTCCTTACTGGAAGCCTCAACAGCACTGGCTATTATAGTTTTCCCTGAAGGAAAGCTAATCTCTTCCAAAAAATCTTCATTGGCATCCTTCTCAATAGGAAGCTGCAACCCCAAAGTGATGATTTCTTCAGTAAAAAGACATTTCAATTCCTCTAATTTCCAGCATCCATGCTCTGTAATGAAATGGCTGAGTTTTAATCCATCCATGTCTACACAATTCGCTGTAATTGGCCAATCAATTAAACGTTTATCTAACAGCCAGATGTCCTTAAGAACATCAATTTTCTTCCCATTAACCACTCTCCGCCTCAAAAGAGGTCTTAAGTGTACAACACCTTCATTTAAGACCTTCCAGGCAATTGATTTGCCATAACTACCGCTTCCACGCCACCAGCTATCACCATATTTGGCTGTTATACTTTGAAATAATAATGAGTTTTAATTTTTTAGCAGTCTCCAAGTTAATCTTGCTTTGAGAGGACCAGCTCTACTCAATGCCGAATTGAAATTCAACCCTCCTTGAGCTTTTGGTTTACACAAAATTTTCCAAGCAATGTAGTGCATACCCTTTTTATCATCCCTTTTGTGCCAAATGAAATTCCTGCAACTTCTATCAATCTCTTGGAGAACATTCTTTGGAACCAAAGTGTGAGTAGAAATGAAGTTAGGAAGACTTAATAGAGAAGTCTTAGCAAGAGTCATTTTTCCTACCAAAGAAAGGCATTTACTCCCCCAAGTGTTCAATTTAAGCATCACTGAATCCAAAATAAATTTGAAATCATTTTTAACCTGTCTTCTCAACATTAATTTGACTCCAAGATACTGAAGTTCTTCAACAATTTTAAACTTCAAAATTTTCTTCACCTATAACATATCAACTCTATTCATCCCCTTACTGAACAAGATTTGAGATTTGGCATTGTTGACCCTTAATCCAGTCCACGAACAGAAATCCACAATAATTCTATTCAACTTGACGGCAAGATTTTTAGAAGCTTGAGAGAAAAGCAAAACATCATCAGCAAATAACAAGTGATTAACCTTGGGAGCTCTTTGTGAAATCTAAATTTCCAAACCTTGACCTCTTTGCTCCATAGCCAAAGAAAAAAGTTGAGAACACATAATGTACAAATATGGCGATAAAGGGCATCCTTGCCTAAAGCCATTTTCTGCACTAATCCATTTGGAGGTCTTACCATTTATAATAAAGGAAAATCTAGCATTACTAACACATTCCATAATATGAGCTAAGTCATCCTCCTTGGAAACCCAAACATGTTTAAAACTTGAGATAAGGTTTCCCAATTCATACTATCATAAGCTTGCTCCATATCAAGCTTAACCGCAATTAAACCTTTCCTCCTCTTAGAAATTCTAAGCTTATGGACAACCTCTTGAGCTAGTAGACAATGATCAGACATTGATCTACCATTAAGGAAAGCTGCTTGTTCTTATGTGATACACTTGGCAATGTAACTTTTCATTCTATTTAAAATCATGGTAGCCACAAACTTATATGTCGATTGACACAAGCTATAGGTCTATAGTTGGAAGGTAAAGTAGGTTTTTTAATTTGGGGATAAGAACAATAAGTGTATCCTTCCACTCATTAAACATAATACCGATTTTAAAAAAATCTTCAATAGCCTTCCAAGTGTCTTCCTCCATAATTTTCCAATAAAATTTGAAAAAAGAAGTAGCAATGCCATCTAAAACAGGGGATTTATTATTACCTTGCTTGAAGACAGCTTTTATCAATTCTTCTTTAGCGAAATCCATATTCAGTGATTCATCTTCCTCCTTAGAAATTCTCAATTTTTCTGGACAGGAAGGCCAATCCGAAAGTATACAATCTCTGGCTGACCATTTTTTCTGAAAAAACTGTAAAATACATTTTCAACTTACTCCAAATATTCCACCACAGTCCCACTCTCATCTTTAATCTCCCAAATCATGTTTTTGTTCCTCTTAGCCAAAGCATACTGATGAAAATAATTAGAGTTGATGTCCCCAACTTGCTGCCATCTGATTTTGGATCTTTGATTCCACCAAGTGGGAAGCCTAATCAAAGTAACATTAAGATCATGAACTTTATTCCTCAACAAAGTCAACTTATCAACCGTTAAGCCTCCTTCACTAGCTTCTTCAATTTGTAACAGTAAAATGTCTTTCTTCAATTCATCCCTTAAAGAATTCAGCTCCTTACACTTGTTTTTATTCCAGTAATAAAGAGCTTTAATAGACCTTTTTAACTTCCTTTGAAGAATTTCAGCACTAGACCCTAAATCCATTTTTTTCCAAGCTTTGAGTATAATGTTCCAAGTGGCTGGATAACTCTTCCAAGTGTCTTCAAATCTTAAGAAACCCAATATCTGGTTTTGATTTTCTACTAAATTGATAGAGATAGGAGCATGATCCGAAGCATCTATAGGCAAGTGACACACCATAGCCATAGGAATATTGTGAAGAGCAGTAGAATTTAAAAGACACTTGTCAAGTCTCTCCCAAATTCTAGAATTCCCTTTCTTGTTATTACACCATGTATAGCTAGGACCCACAAATCCTATATCATGGAAGTCATTATTCACCATAAATTTCTTCATATCTTTAGACCCATTTGATAGATGGAACCTCTTACCACCCCTCTTATCCTCCTTAGAGAGGATACAATTGAAATCCCCTCCTATGATACCTGGCTCATCACCACTCATATAATCTTCAAGCTTGTTCCAAAGTGATTTACGGGTTTGAGCATCTTTACCTCCATAGACAGTTGCAATGTTCCATATGCCCAAAGCATTGATGTTGAGCTGTCCCATAACCAATTGGGAAGAATGATCAACTATTTCAAAAGAAGCAAACTCTTTTTTCCACATGACTAAGATACCACCCGATGTGCCAATCGCAGGATGATGAAAATAATCCCATTCACTCACAATAATTTGGTTAATATCATTCCTATAAATAGAAGAAATCTTGGTTTCAGTAAGCCCCACAAAAAAAACCCTTATAATCTTTCACAACTTCTCTAAGATATAAGGAGGCTTCCCTCTTTCTAGCCCTTCTACAATTCCAAAAAATGATAGAAGCCATTAAGAAACAATAGGGGAATTATCCCCTATCATTTTACTTTTTTCTTTGTCTCCTCTCCTCTTCCTTTGCTTAGATTCCATAGGGCCCAATGATCTCAATTATTTCGAAAGCTTGCATTTCCCTGAATTTGAAACTGAAACCAACTGATCTTCACAATCATGTACATCCATAGCAACAGCTTAAACAGAATCCAACAGAATGGATTTATTCAGCAGCTCCTCACTATCATGTACAGTAGTAGCAGCAGTATCAGCATGTAATTCTGGAGTAACAACAGCTTCAACAGAATCCAACAGAATGGATTTATTCATTAGCTCCTCACTAGCCTTCTCAACAACTTCTCCCTCCTCCAAATCACAGTCCAATGCTTGGAATTTATTCAAAGAAACCGGTATTTCCTGCACCCAGAAGTCTTCAGCTTCTATGACATTTTCAGGAATTTTTTCAAACATTCCTTCTGGATTAATAGGCTCACTCAATTGTTCCACAACCCTCATCTGTTTAACAGACTCAACAGGTCTATAAACCTGTTTAAATTGAGTATTTACTCCAACATTCCTTCTAGCATTTTTGAATCTTCAACTTCTGAAGTTAACATGGATCCACGGGCCATATTCTTCATCTTGGCGTTTACTTCCATCATCCTTCACAGCATCACCTTGTTTCATAATTTCCTTAGAGTCCTGAATGCTTTTCTCCTTATCTAGCACTGAAATAAAATCTAGGCAGCCATTTTTATTGTGACCAACTCTTCCACACTGATAACAGAGAGATGTCAGCTTTCATATTCCATACGTTGATAGGTTCTTCCATGAAGACCTTCAATCCACACTCCCTTAGGGAGTTTCTTCTCTAATTCAATTCGAACACAACACCTAGAATATTCCCTTTTCTCCCATTTAAATGAATTCCCGTCAAGCATCATTGGAACTCTGATCATAGAAGCAATCATGGGAATATTTTCCTCATCCTAGCAGCTCAAAGGCAATCCAAGAAATCGAATCCATAACTGAGAAGTAATACCTTTTAGCGATTCATTGGAGAAGGATGACAACCATCTATCCATACCGATGATGTGGTTCCTAATATACCATGGACCACCGCTTAGAACTTCCTCCATGGAATCCATGTTAGCAAATGAACACAGAATCCAGTTACGACCCAATGTCATTTGATGAAAACTTCCATACTTGCTCCATTGCCGTGTGAGTTCTTGACTACAAACAGAGAACGGTATGTCCTGTGCTAGCACCTTGATAACCAACAATTTCTTCAACACCTAAGAGTTTTTTATTTCCTTATTAGTGTTTAGCTTAATCGCCAAGCCATCTTCAGTCAATTGTGTAGAATTAGCATTAAAATTCAATTTAATGTGCTGCGTCTTTTGCCAGGCCGACGAGAATTTGTTAACAGGAGCAGTATCACCAATCAACTTAACAACCTCATCCACTTTGTCTCCATCTTTCTCAAAAGCACCCTTTGATCTGTTTATGGTTCTCCGAACCAAGCAATCCAGCGCAATTCATAACCTTCAGATCAACACTTGAAGAAACCGACTCTGTATCAAATTTCGAAAGAAACCCTGGAATGACTTCATCTTCCACGATCTAATCAACAACGACACCTTTGCCTTTGCCTTCCAAAATCGGCTCTAATTTCGTCGGATGCCTATAACCTTCTCTGATCACCAAATTAGAAGAAATCATGTGCGTTTCTTGATCCAAAGAATCGCCGCGATTCCTGATAGATTTCTGATCAACCGGTTTAAGAAGAACATTAAGATGAATGTCGGATGGAGGATTACTGCCGGTAAGCCACTGCCGGCAGTCAGGGATCACCATCCTCCCAATGAGATCCGATCAGAAAAGCCCGCGAAAACCAAAAATAAAAAACAAGAACAGTTTCTCTCTAGAAAAATCCACAGCTTCTCTCTCTAATTGAAAATCTTCTATTTTTAGTTGTAATAATTTTCTATTATAATAGTTTTAATTAAAAAAAGTATGTTTTTTTTTAATTTATTTTCTTTCTTATTACAAATTTTGGGGCATAAACTGAAGGAGAGAAAAACACTTAAGTAAAAATAATATAATTTATTTAAAAATATCACTTAAATATAAAATATTTGTCATAATAAAAAAAGAAAGATTGTTGAACTCCATGAGCATTATATAATTACAAATATTATTATTTATACCAACTAAAAATTAAGTTAGATGGGGAAGAGGTTACTTTTTATTCTTACATTGTTGGAAACACATACATAATATAATCAAGATGATGAATTGATAAAGGAAAATAATTGAATATAAAGAAGTCCTCCCAAGACAAGAAGATCAAGAAGAAAACTACATGAATTTATATTTTTTTTTTCTTTCTCAAATCTTTCTATACCTCATGCATATAGTTGGTTGGACTACCAAGCACACACGCATGAGCTAGTAAAAAATTAAACCATGCTAATTAATATAATTGATTCTCAACTAATTTGTATTGCATACAATACAAAACTTTATTTCTTGTATTAATATTTATGTGTTTTGGAATCTAAAATCAAAGAGTTGAGCCAGAGTAGATATCACTACACGATCCTAATCATATAGCCCGAACAAACAAAGATCTTATTTTATTTTATTTTTTTGATAAAGCAAACTGATTGCATTAAGAACTAAAGAAGCAATTACAGATTAACACCCATAATCTGATTCCTCCTTTAACAATGCATAAAAGAATGAGTAATCTTATTTGAAGTAAAGTTATACCAACTAAAATTGCTAAAAAGAGCATAGTTAGCACATAAGTTTTCTTATTTATTATAATCTCTATTTACCCAATTGAAAACAAGAAATTTAAACTCTTTTAAGAATGCAAGGTCTTCATTCCAATTACCTCCCAATTGTTGTAGAAATTTGATAATGTTGTAGTTGTTTCCTTCAATGATCAACCCTTTGTACTCTTCCATAAAATCTTTTTTTATATCTCTTAAAATATGGACGGCCAAAAGCTCAAGCTGTGAAATGTCCTAATGAATACAAGAATGTCCATAAGCAAGAATAAATCTTCCTTTGCAATTTCGAATTACACCAACTCATGCTTTGTATGATTTTAGCAATGATGCATCCACATTTAATTTGATCCAACCAGGAGGAGGAGGGTATCAACGATCCAACAGTCTATACGACTGATTGGTACCCCAGTTCCCTAGTTTGATTTTACCAATCATAAAATATATTGATGCAAAACTTACGGTGTTTAGCGCAATCAACATTGCACTATCAACCTTTCCTCCATAAACTGATTTATTCCTAGCCTGCCAGTTTAGATAGATAGAATTACAATAAAAATTGATAATGAACTTATGTTTATTAGCACTTTTATCCATCCATTCAAAGATTTCATAAAATGATTGAAAAATAGTAATGCCAAATCCCCAGGAGTTAAGATAGTTGAATATGTCCTGCAGTTTTACGCATTTGACCGAAATATGATCCAAGTCCTCTTTAGCATTACATCCTTTCGAGCATCCAAACTCGTCTTTCAATCTTCTTTAATAAAGGAAATTTAAGGTAGGGATCACATTATGAAAGAATTTCCACAAAAAAACTTCCACTCGAGGGATCAATTTGAATTTTTTCATCATTTTCCATTGATCACCTGAGTAATCATCCATCATCGTAGCCTTATAAGCTACAACAATAATAGAAAGACCTGGCTTGCATTGAAGAGCTCCATCATATCTTCCTCCTTATCTACAAGTATTGGAATCTTACAGATAATGCAAACTAGCTCATTCCCAAATAAATTATTTAATTCGTCTACATTCAATTTTCCTTCAATAATTAACTTTTCCACCTTCAATTCATTATGCTTAGGTTTTTTCATGAATGTTGGCCATCTGTCTAGACAATTTTCCAAAATCCATATGTCATTGTAAACTTCAATAGATTTACCTGATCCAACCTTCCATCTGATTAGCTGATTAATGAATTCCAATCTGCTTGCAATGATTTTAGAAGAAGAGCTACCTACTACCAATGAAGACTCCACCATGAAATCTATATTTTTCTCCTAGCATTTTGAATAATAATGAGTCTTTATCTTGTAGAATTTTCCATGCCAACTTGGCTCTTAAATGACCAACCATTTCCAAACATGAATGAAGACCTCTTCCTCCACAACTTGAGGTTTGCATAGATTACTCCAACTTACATAATGTATGCCAAATTTGCCATCATTTTTGTTCCAAATGAAATTCCTACAGATTTTGTCCAACTCCTTCAACACACTTTTGGAACTAGAGCAAGTGTGCTATAAAAAATTGGGATTGATAAGAATATAGTCTTGATAAGATTGAATTTCCCTACTAGAGATATAAGTTTAGTTCCCCAAATGTGAACTAATCTCAAAGCTTTCTCAATAATAAAGTGAAAGTCTTCCACCACCATCCTTTTCAAAGCCACCTTAATACCAAGATAGTTAAATTGTTTAACTACCTTGAAGCCCCCACCCTCTCAATTGATTTTTTTCTTCTTTCTCCTCACATGTTTCCCAAAAAGGATAGCTAATTTAGAAGCATTGATTTGTTCACTAGTCCAATCACCAAAATCAGATAGAATTTTTTTAATTCCCTTTACATCTTTCATTTTTGCTTCAGAAAAAATTAAGATGTCATCTGCAAATAGGAGATGCGAGATCCTTTGCCCATTTGGGATTAACCAAATCCCCTGAGATAATTCATTTTGTTCAAGAACATTGGAAAGTAATTGAGAACAAAGAATGAATAGAT